AAATAGTCTACAATGCTTGGAATAGTGTTTCAATTTATGTATATTAATTACATGAATTATAATAGGATCTGTCAAGGACCTGTGAATTTTGATGCTGAGGATTATAGGATCCAAGAAGCTATGAGGTGCTGAAAGTTCTATCTTTCTACGTAGTGCCTTAAAAATTGTAATTTCTTCCTTTTGTTCTGACTCACTGTACCCAGCACCATGACATAGAGATTCATCCTTTTAAGTTGCCTGACTTTATAAAATATGCCTTTAAAAAGGCATATTACATTCCTTAGATATTTCCAAACCAAAGATAGCTTTTGAAAATAAAAAGTAAAATGCTCTTTAGAGAATGTTGTCTGTAACTTTACAAGGGAACATTCTCTGTCCTAGCAAATAACTACTGCAATCTAATTATCTCTAGGAAACAAAAAAAAACATTTTAACCTCTTGGTTAGACTCTGTGTAATGTGGCCATGTTGGTCATAGTGTAATAGTACTGAGTAGATAATTAAGTCACAGAAAAAGCATATGTCAGAAGGACCAGTCCTAATTAAAGCATCATCTCCATACAGTATTGCAGAAGAGACTTTCAAAACATTAGTCGTGGAATAACTGGAAGTCAATTCAGAAATCAGCATCACAGTAATTTTAAGGAAATATTTTCTATGGAAATGAAAATCCACAAAAAATGTGGCAATGCACGTATTTTTAGTTGTGCACACTGACCTAATAACATAATATTAGCATAGATTACACACCTTTTTAATCGGATTCCAAACTTGGATTCACTAGACAGTCCTAATGTTTTTACATGTCTTCACAACTCATTAAGTTAAAAGGGGGCCATGATTTAGAACTATTTGGAATCACTATAGTGTATCCCCAAAGCTAAAGTAAAAGGGTAGACTGAGTCAAAATGAGTACCTACTGTATATTTTCTCTTCTTCACCTTACCAACCTTTTTGTAATTTCTCTATCATTTCTACTCCTCTATTGCTGTCTTTTTCTAAAGGCCATCCTACAGATTCAACCCTTTCTCAACAATCAGCTTCTTTCTCAGGCCATGAGTTTTTGTTTTCAAGAATGGATTACTACTGCTCTGTACCAAAGAAGCAAGCAGGCCCACTGTCTTCAGCACATAAAAACTCTGGTCCTCGCTGGGTCTGCTCTCTTCTTCAATTCTCCCATGTATGTTTTTGCTATTTGCACTCTTCAATGATTACCTCTTTCTGTTTGTATCCAATTGAGATCCTTGTTCTCACCTTTATTCATTAGTTTGTCTCCTCCATATCTCCAATTCCTCAGCTAAGTGATTAGAAGCACATCTTTGTTTTTTCTTTGTCCATTTGAGAGATTCTATCTCTGCTGCTGACCGTTTAATTGTTCACTATCTTCAGTCTCTTGCCTCATTTTCCACCCTTGGACCATTGTGATGGAAACAGATACCTACTGTACAAGCACCATCTCTGACTACATTCTGGCTCCTCCCCTATACCCATTTGTTCAAACTGTAACTTTAGATATTATGATTCATTCCAGTTTCTGCTGTGATTGGTACAACTTGTATTGGCTTTCTTCTTGCACTGTATTGAGATCTTTTAGTTAACACCGCCATGCAGTTTTGCACAACCCACAGTTTACTAATAAATTTGAATGTAAACCACCTTTGATAAAAATATTTGTATATCTTTGAAATAGAATATATACTAAAATAGGGAAGCATAGAGGTGCAGTGGCTAGCATTGCGGCCTTGACAGCCTTGGGGCCCTGGGTTCAATTCCAGACATGGGGTGCTATCTGAGTTTTTCTGTTCTCACCATGTTCTTGTGAGTTTCCTCTGGGTATTCTGGTTTCCTACCAGAAGCCCAAAGACATACTGGTGGAGTAAGAGGCTTCTGGGAAAATTGGTGCTGGTGTGAGTGTTTGTGTGCCTGTGTTTGCATGCCTGGCTGGTGATGCACTGCTGTCCTGTCCAGGCTGTACCCGCCTTGCACCTGTTACTTGCCATGATAGGCTCTGGCTCCACTGTGACCCTGAATTAGATGAAGTGGTTAGAAAATGGATGGATGGATGGATGTATAAAATAGAATATCAAGAATATTTCATGAAAGGACAGACCATTATTCGCAATAATTTCAGTAAGAGAAATGTGAAGATCATTTGTAACTGGTATTCAGTACATTCTGTTATCTGTCACAACAGGTTAAATTGCAAGGCTAAAAGTGTTTGGTCTAATTGAATACGTATAAAATATGCTCCTAATCTACCTCCAGATCAGAAGAAAAGGAGAGTATCATATGAACAATCAGTGGGCATATTCTATTTGCTCATTGCTCGGAACACTGCAGTAATTACTGAATATGCCTTCAAAGCTTCATGTCTAAAGATAAAGAAAATATGATAATTCCCTATTTATCATTGTAACAACAGTAATTACATTTACGGGTCTGGTTCTTATTCTTCTTAAGCCTTCTCATATACAGTTAATCAAGATTTAAGTTTGGAAATCAAACGTAAGAGGAGATGAGTAGTTTCTGAGTAATGTATTATCGGTCATATTCACAATTTATTATTTATTACATTGTATTTTCAATATGCCATGTGATTAATAGTTGCATAAACAATGTTCTGACTTTGCTTGGAGGATTTTACATTAAGTTAAACTGATCTTTAATAGGAGGATATTCATACACAGTATTCTGCTTTTTTGCAATCCTGTAATGAAAACCCTTGATGGTATGCAAAAAATGAATTATTCAAAGAGCACAAGGCATGGTTAGTGCTCTTACCATATTATTACAGTATATATGCTGTATATATGTGGGTATTGGGTGAAGAACAGGAATATGCCTATAGACGTTTGACACAAGTAGCTACTGTGCTCTTATGCTGTATATAGCGTTGCTATTAATTTATTCTTCTATTAAGTGTATTCTTCCAGGGTGAGAGTGTTTTGAAATATTATCAATATTATTAATATTACAACACATGATTTGGACAAAACAATGTAAGAAAATGTAATATGCCATATATCATATATCTTTACCTAATGAATGTTTTCATTTAATACCCTTTTGTCTAAACCACCCTGTGCGATCATCCAGGCCAAATGTAAGACCTACATTTTATCCTTGTTTTTGATCACCATGTTTTAGTTTGGATTGGTTGTAGAACAGGAATATGCTTTCAGCAGTTTGACACAAGTAGCTACTGTGCTCTTAGAGCTTAATTTGCCCATTTTTACATTTACTGTATATGTTTGAAAGGGAGAGACGCATGAAAGATGCAGTGATTGTCAACAAGTGTCACAGCCCTGAAATAAAGCTGGGCTAATGCTCACTGACTGCATAAGGTTCCAGGCAATGTAGTGTTGCAGCATTTATATCATTAATGTAGTCTGATGAAAGTTTGATAAGCTAGTTGTTTTCTTGAGTAGCAAGCACGTGTCTCCAAGACAGTAAATGTATCATGACTGTCTTCAGGGGCCTGACTCTTGATGTCAATGAAGTCTTATTTAATTTACTCTAAAGTTTCAACTGACTGAACACATAAACAAGTGCTGTTTATATATACCTAAGGAATTCCCCTTACAAAAATCTTGTATCCTTATTGCATTTTGTGTCTCAATACTTAGGCCTCTACTGTACAGTATATTCCCAGAATATATAGATGAAATATTTTCACTAGGTTTATATTTTGTACATATATACTGTAGTATCGTTAATCACTGTAGTGACAGTAGTATATTGTGAAGAGCTTGGTCTTTCCAGCATCCTGTTCTTAATAAAAGGGATAAGAAATGATTGGTTTACTCTACCGTTAAACAAAGTTTTAAAAAATGACTTATCTTCTTCAACTAAACTGTATACCACCACAACAATAGTTCCTTATAATTGTGCAGATATTGTATTCATATTTCTAAGGAATGATTGCTTTCAAAGGTTCTATATAAAATAAAATGTACTGTTATTGTGTTTTCCTTCCTGCAATAACTAAGTACTACATAAAATATAGTGAAGCTGATATTAATTTATTTCTTTTAGTAACTTTTCTGTGTAGAGTGGAGGAAAAGCAGCCTCAGTAGAGATTTGATTGAGAATTATATTAATGAAAATCACATGCTAAGCTGACCCCTTTTTCTATTGCTATATCAATTATAAATATACATTATAATATTTATATATATTTATATATTATATATATTTATCAATTATAAATATGGCCATCTTTTTCAAAAGGCCTTTGTTACATTTTGCTTGACTGGCAAGAATCACTGCACTTTCTGTTCATCCTTTGCTGTCAATCCAGTAACTCCAGAGACTTATTGTAACAAAGTGCATCTGTGTGATTCAGTTAGGAAGAATCTTTCCCTGGAGCCATCCTCGTATTCTTCTCTTCAATGGTCTTCTACACTCATGAATACCAAGGTTGCATAGATGAAGTACAAAAACATTTTGAAATATGTCAGATAACCATTGGTTTCAGTAGAGACCCACCACAAAGTATAAAAGAATCAGGGTCTGAAATCTTGAAAATATAGCATTATTCTTCCTATGGAATTACTCCTGTAGTGCACATGCAGGAATCTCATAAGAGTTAGATACTGTACAGTATAAGCAATTTGTTGATTGTAGATTTTTGACCTGTGAACCTAATGTGATATTTTTTTTCCTTTCCAATGTGACAGAACATGTCAATTTGCTTTTATTCTGCATTTGTTGATCCTACACATACAGTACCTGTATATAGAGTACTCTACTGTATATAATTGACGCAATGTTCACAAACTAAAACAAAAAGTAAAACAAAACAAAAGCAATGCAGCACTCACTCTAAAGGCAAGAAATGCTCGATGTTGTGGCCAGACCATTGGCATTACAAATTTTCTTCTGTGTTACTTTTCTTTTCTATATGCATATACCATAAACAGTATCTGTATGTGCCAAATGTTCAATCACATCTACTTGTTTTCTTTTTTAAAGGGATATTACTCTTATGTGTCTTTTCAGGATTGACTACCAAGAGTTACTGCACAATTCCAGTTTCTGCTTGGTCCCCAGAGGGCGAAGGCTAGGCTCCTTTCGATTTTTGGAAGCCCTTCAGGTATACAGTTTGAACTTTCTCCTGACAAAGTCCTGTCCTTCATGGCCCTGTCTATTACTAAGCAGTTCCCTTGGAAACGAGAGGCACTCATCGGCAGTTCAAGTTTTTCAGTTTCATTTTGCCAGCCTCGGGCAGCAGCCCTGATGTCTGGGTTATTAGTATTGACAATCTGTCATATTTCCAAGCACAACCTCAAAAGAAATAATGTAGAAACAGAAAATGTCTATTTTAGTCTGCCTTACCACGAGCCCCATGTCATTAACACTTCCCTTCCATTACCATTCTGACATGTTGAGCTTTGTTCATTTTTATTTTAATAAATGTGTCAAATATTGTACATTTGAAGACACTGCATTCTGCTTAGTGAGATGTAGTATTAATGTATGAGCAAATACATAAATAAGTTTATTTAATACAACAAACTTAGATATCACTGTGGATTTAGCAGTAGTGAGGGTGAATTGGTTATTAGTAATTACTTTTATAAATTGTTTAATAAACATTGTAAGGTAGACATTACAACTTTTATTTGTGCAATTTTTAAACATCATCATGGAAATTATTTTAACTATTATTCATGTCACTTTTATTGGAACTTGTTAAATGCACTTCTTCACACTTTTTGCTTAGCAATTTAAGGACCTGTCAAATTTAGAAGTCAAAACTGGTAATGAAAAAATGTGGCCATTGGCGTACTGTTTTATGTAAATTATCAACTTTTTGTATTATTTTTTAACAAAATATATTCCTCTCATATTTCCACAAGACCTTTTCATTTGACATAAAGGAGACACATTTATTGATTAGATACTGTGTCTACAAAAAGTACAAATGAATTTCCCTTTTTCTTTCAGGACAATGCTAAGATGGACTTATGACTCATTTCAAGTTGCCAGACTTTGAAAATCAAATCTTTTATCTGCCGTTTTTCATTACGATACAGTCAGTCACATGCTGCTTCAGCACTATGTAACTGTTCTTTAACATCATGAAGTGCTCTTACAGGATTTTAATAAAGAGGTCTACTGACCTCCACATTAAGTATTCTGCCTCAGGTAGGGGTAAGGAACCAAAATATTTGCATTCCAATTTGGTACATTACTGTAAATCAACCAAAACAATATTTGTTAAATGGAGACCAGAGTATGTGTGTGGCCCTGCGCTTTAGGGCTGCATAAGGGCACTTTTGTATATCCTTACAAAAGAATAAAATGGAGATATCAAAGCTCCTTGCCCCTGCCATGAGGTTTCGTAGTAACAAAAAGATAATTTGATCTAACAAAAATCTGTAGACCCATCTGAGAGCTCTAGATGCAAAACAATAATTTATTCTTTTTCTAACCCAGACCAACACAATTTACTGTAAGTCTTACTATGCAGATTCGTCTTGTAAAACCTATTATGTCGATACGGTTATTACCTTTAATTTGCATCCTGATTCCCATTTTTCCTCCCATTTTTGTCTGTTTATTCACTGATCACAACTTCTTAAGGTATTGAAAACTCCTTCTTGTTTCATATTGTTCTCTGAATATATGCAGTCTTGTCCATCAAACCAGAATACAAATTACCTCCTGTTATCCTGAGACAATATAATTGTTTTGATGTTTAAAAACAGATGTCCTGTTGCTCCTTTGCTGCTCAGATTGCTCTTTGGATTCTTAAGTCCTCACTTTAAACAACAATTTCATCTATCCTCATCAGATACTGTACATAAAAAATATGCTTATTCCTGCCACTTTCATTTTCAGACTTGACAGGTTTCATCGAATAGTAACCCCTTGTGGGACACCACTTCTCTTGGTATAATATCGTTGAACCAGGGACATTTTTAGTCTTGTATTCAAATGCAATAAATTAAATGGAACATTTTTACAATTTCTTTACCAAAAACTATTGAGCTATTATCAGCTAATGTCTATATTGTTATATCACCTGAAAAGGTTCTAGTGTCAATGGTAATATCCAATACATGCAAATCCCATGGAGAACCGACTTTTGTTCTCTGTATGAAAACTGATATTAATTGCAGTAAGTGACCAACACTAATGCTGTTTGTGCACACATGGCTCTTTATACTAAGACCAACACCTTCTAATTCTATGCTGCTAACACTTTATATAAAATATCTAAGCCAATGTTTCCCAAGCTGTGCACTGCAATAGTAAAATAACGACTATAATGAATATCCTGTGTTGTAAATTACAAGAATTACCCCATTTGATGTGTAATCATGTAAATTACATAACCTGTAGTTTATGGTGGGTTTCCATTGATCGGGAGAAGTCTGTTAAGTCCTGTATTTGGATTTCACCAAGTGTGATTAAAAGTTACAAAAGAAATCCATCTCGTATATGAAAAAGTAATGAAATTCAGCCCTATGCTAATATACTTCAATGTAACCGATTTTGGACTCAGGTCAGAAAAAATAATTGGCCATTGTAAAAACTTTACATTGCTTTCTCCAATTCAAACCAGCATAATCCTAGCACTGCGTTGTGATGTTGCTTTGTATTGTCATGCCTGAAAAATCAACAGTACTGGATTAATTGGAGGAACCTAAAGAACTGTCTGAACAGTCAGGTTACCCTCTATCTGCACCAAAGGCAATGTAGAGTTGAAGGAGATTCCTTCCAAACTCATCATATATCCAGCACTCAATAGGTTGCTTGTAGCATCCAACACGATGTTGTCTTCTGTCTTGCAAGGGAAACACCATTAATTTATTTAATGAATTAAACACTTCAACAATCTATCTGCAGCTACATCAGATGTTCTTCAGCCCATGTGAAGCATACTGTATGAATTCAGGTGGGTAGCTGCGTCAGCATGCGTAGGCTGCAAAGGAACAAGTAATAGGTTTATTCCATGCTGAAACAAAGATGAGTGTGAGAAGGCTCCACGGCCGAAACATTGTGTTTTCTCTCTTCTTTTTTTCAGCATGGAATAAACCTATTACTTGTTCCTTTGCATACTGTATGAATGACAGCCAGCTACAGAAATTCTGCTGATGCACGTTTTTCTCCCTGAATTTTCTCGGGCTGCAGCATTAAAAAGATTATGCAGGGGATCTTCTGTCTTCCAGGGTGTGGACAGTGGACTCACAGAACCAGTATTCTCTGAACAACTGCTCTCATTGACAGAGAGTCTGTGGCAGACAGAATACTTTCAATCAGACAGATAGCAACCAGGTGATTCGTATTACTTAAGCCAGGCCTGTTTATGTCTTTCATAGTTCTTGCATTAATTTAAATCACACATTTGTGAGTGTATTAAGAAGTCCATTTCCCAAATTTGAATTTGACTCAAATACCACCACTGAATGTTTTTAATTTTTACGAAATCACATGATTTGAGCTCAGTATTTTGTTCAGAAACAGTCTACTCCAAAATATCAACAAACCTATCAAAGTACCATTAGTTATGTGCCCAACGATCTATTGATGTTACACTTAGATCTCTGTATTATCACTGTACATCAATATATAGATAAATGCAGTTACTGTATGTCTCATAGCACTACATGCACATTAGGTTTCCAGAACTACTTCAATTGTTTGGCCCGGGTGGGTCAAAGCTCCCAGTCTTCGGTTTGCAAAGGGGCTGACTGCATTCGCATGAGGACTCGACTCCGCCTGGCGCCACTCAGACCCAGTATAACAGGCTCTCTTGGTTACCTGCATCTAATTGATCAGCAGTCAACCAGGCATTAAACTCCTGCCCACGGATGCCCATTATCAGTTATTCGATCTATGGTACCTTGATTTGAGTAATTGTCTCACACCAAGGTTTCTTGTAAGCTTGCGATCCAGCTATCTACTGCCTGTAGTCACCAGTGCCTGATCCAGTCCATGATTATTCCCATGAGTCCTGATCCTGCCAGTTCTGTTTTCTTCTTCTGCACTGATACAGTGGCAGTCCCGGGTCTCCAGAACATTGTCCACTTCTCCATGACTTTTATCTAACCGAAGATGGCATCCTTCATGGTTCCATACCTACACTACTCTCGGATTTGTTCATGATCCTTTTGTGTGTCTCCGTGGCCAGCCAACATTTTTCATCTCTCCACTATGCGTACACATGGATCCCCTTTTCCCTTAGCTAGCTGCAGGTAATTCAATATCATGCCATGGTGTAACTATAACCATGTGTAACAGGCTCATAACGGCGATGCATCATTCTGAAAATGGGTACATTATTTTATATTTATCAGTTGTCAGCTATTCGAAATCTCAGTAAGAGTTTTTAGCCACCCTATTTCAGAGAGAAAGCTAAACAAAACATCAAAAGGCTTTTAGGCATCATACAGATAACGTTGGTCAGTTTTACTCATAAGCAGTTTCTTGTATTCTTTAAAAGTACATAAGTCTCTTCCTCCTTGTTTGTCATTTTCACAAGCTTAGGGTTTTGTATTGAAAACAGCTCAGCAATGCAGAGAGGTTCAACCAATAAGGTACAGTACATTATAGACATTCTTTATAGGCATTATGTAAATTACCTGTTTATGCCAACATACAGTATAAGTTTCCTGTCTAAGCTTTTATGGAGCAAGAATGAATCGACAACAGAAATATAAGTGCAAGTGTGATTTAGAAGGTGAGTCGATTGACATTATATACAGATCAAGAGCTGTCCCATTCACTGTGAAATTGTTTTTACACTTACAGTGTTTTCACAAAGTGATGAGAATCAGAAATAAATAACAGTATTCTCACTTTTAAAAAGAAAGATTTGTCTTCACAAAGGAAATCACACTTAACTGTAAATGTTGGCCTTGGGATTCTCTGTAAAGCAGTTTTCATTCTTGCTGCTGTAGGAAATGAGGAGTCAGGTGTAGTGTCAAATACTGAATGTCTATACATGCAGCTTGACAGCAGTATGCCCAGTGATGGAGGGTAGGTACACATTAAAGGGCTTTCCAAACCCCATCTCCCCTAACATTCTTCAAACAGAGACATCACTTCAAACAGGGATATATCTGTAAAAACCTATCATAACATACATTCCCTGCCTTTAACATCATTTTCAGTCTATCGGCTGCTTTCAGTACCAATAAATGATGATCTGATAAGCACTGTCTGACAATTTTAAGTACTGTACAATTGTTCATATTTTAAGCTCTTAAAATAACTCACTCAGGTTATACTTTATTTGAGGATAAAGATTTGGAATCCACACAAAATTAAATTGAATATACAACAAAACATTTTCACATGAAATTAGTCCCATAGGGTTCTTCTTGAGGGGTGTGACTTATTGTATATTCTTCAGCATATACTGTATAGTAATATAAAAGGCTTTTAAGATTGGCCTTTCTATACAAGCTCAATCCCATATTAAACAAAACAATTGAAATTTGATAATTCAACAGGAAGTTAAATAGGAATTCTTTGAAATGGAGTTGATGCTTTGACAATACAAACGTTTTGCATCCAAAATGAAGGAAGGAGGAATACAATGTTCATTGTGATATTAATTATTTTTGCAAATATTTTGCAAATATTTTTAAAACCAAAAGTTTTTTGGAAATTCAAATAAGCAAATTAGATGTGTTTTTTTCCATGCCTTTTAATCTAAAAAAAAAACAAACCTTTATGGCAAACAATTAGAATATAAGCCCTTCTGAAACAAAATACAAGAAAGACTTTCAGAGTTACACATCCTTTAGTTCTTGGTTTCTTTTTCACTGTTTACATTTCCTGCAGCATAAGTAAAAATCCCTTTGGTTGACAAAGTGGTGTTCAATGTTGAACTTTCAAAATTAAATCCCTTTTTTTTTCTTTTTGATATTCTTATTTGGACACAAAGTAAACAGAAATAATACAAATATAATTTCCATATAGTGTACTTACAGTATTCTTAAATTCATCCATTCATTTTCAATCACTGCGTAGTCTAATATAGGGCTACAGGGGAAAGGATACTAACCAACCGACAATTGGCACAAGGCAGGGTACACTCTGGATGGAACCCCAGTTACTTTTACTTTAATATAAATATACTTAAAAATGATTAGTTAAATTGTTTAATTTCCTATGCTACTCAAGTAGGACTAGAACAGAAGACACAAGTCTCTCCAAGAACTTAATTTGAGACGCCTCCCTTATAATTGTTTAATATTGTTAACTACTGTACTGTACCTAAAGAGAATATAATAATGAAATAGCATGCTAAAAGTATAAAAAAGTCTTGAATTTTCCTTCCATTAAATGTTGTGAGATGTTATGCTATTTTAAATATGCTTTTGTTTTTCCAATTGCCAATTTTTCCAATTAATCTTCGTTAACAAGGTGTTGTGAGTTTGCTCTTTGATCAAAATAGGCAATATTGACTGGCAGTGCTCAGTCCCTGCAGCTGATCAGAGTGAATAGGTTATGTGTGTTATTCATCTAATAATGACAATGAGTGTAAGCTGTGATGCCTATGTAAAAGAAAACACCAGCTTTCATTGATGTAGAATCACTTTGATGTAGACATAAAATTATAGCTCAGATATTACAAACACTAAATAAATAAATGGAAATGGTGGCTTTTCATTTGGCATAACTGCCATTCAGTCTATCAAATATCAGTTAGTAATATGCAAATATGATAACAGTACTTCAGTTGTTGTTGTTTCTTTTATTACATACAAATCCTTTACACAGCCAATGACAGTAAGTATTCCACTAGTTGCATACAGTATTAATAAAAATAGTGTAGTTGATTATGTATTGTATTAAGTGTAGTCATTTCATGTGCAAACAATCAATATTTTGATTTCTTTGTAAAAACACCCCATGGCCATTCTGTCATAAAATGGTTCGTTCATTTATGCATTTCTCTCACTTTTTTGAAGACCATGTATTTCACATAATTTGAGTAACAATAATCGGTTTCCAAACATTTTTTGTAAGTTTGGTTAATCCATAATATTAAAAGAATAGAGAATCCTCTGAGCCATTTAGAAAATAGTTTATTTAAGTATGAAATATAAGTAATCTTTATTGTGAAAAATAAATGATGTAACCACAAAATATTAACATACAGGTTAGAATTTCGTGAAGTGCCTTTGAGGACCAAAAAATGCCTGAGTGTACAAGATAATTACCACACTAATTTAGGTAAAATACAACTCCATCAGAGAAATGCTTATTGTGCTGACAAAAAAATAAATATTCTTATTCTGTCAGAAAACTATGACATTTACAATTTTAACATTTAGAACTTCCAGAGAGAGGAAAAATCAATTTATTAATACTTCTTACAGAAAATAACTTACTTTTTTTTGCAAACAAGCTCTATATAAATTGCTTTGACACTGCAATTTGCAGACGTCTCTAGAACAGCCGTGGCTGTAAAAGAGAATAGTTATTAATTGCTGTATTGCAACTTTATTGTTAGAATAATTATGTAAATGTATGTTGAAACTGCAGCTGCCATGTTGTGTTATGTTTTTTCTTCCTCTTCTGAATAATATATGTCTCTTTTAGGCGGCCTGTATTCCAGTTTTACTCAGCAATGGCTGGGAGCTGCCTTTTTCTGAGATTATAGACTGGAGCAAAGCAGCCATCATTGGAGATGAGAGACTTTTACTACAGGTACAGAAAACTTTAAACTAGAAAAACAGAGTTAATACTCTTGTTACATTTTTCTTCTGTTTCTTTTACAGTGTCATCATCTATATAAGAAGTAGAATTACTGTACAATATATGCCCTGAAGTTATTTTAATGATGATGCATTATCACTTTAGTTTGTGTAGTTGAATTTGTTGAAATCTATTGAAGGGGCTTTCAAAATCAACTTCAGAACTTAGATTATGCATAAACATAGCATATCTGGAGTATAAGGTCATAATGGCAGAATGCCTCTGCTGTATTTCACCAAGTGGTAATTCCGCACCAATTAGCTAAAGATAAAATGCTTAAGAGCTACTTTTCCCAGTTGGGGGTCTCTGTGGCAGCTGAAAGTGATTTAAAACTATGACAGCACGAATTTAGGAATTTCAGATGCACTCTAGGGGCATATACTGTAGGCTACACAGATATGAATATAAAAAAGTATTTTTTCTTATGAGAAACTTAATAAACTGTGGATCTTTAGAAATAGGTCATGTCTGTGTTGGAAATATTTTGTTCCTTTATATTTATACAGTTCATATAAGTTTTTTATGGGTTCAAAAAGCTAAGTAACAAGTTTTTGAAATATTAGAATCCTGAGGACGATGGCAAGCATTACCTAAGATATTGTCTCCAAATGTGTCTTCTGATAAATATTTAAATTTACTGTTATTCAATGGGGCAGTGGTTAGAGCTCCAAAGGATCATCAAGACATGGATTCAAGTTTCCAATAAAGAAACTACTTCAACTATAAAAGGAAAGTATTCAACTGTTGAGTGAGGTAATATAATTCTACTCAACTAGACTGGGTGCTAGCATTTATTAGGTTTTAATGTGCTATAGACATGTGTCTACTACTACGGGAGTAGTGTGGGTGAGTGTGAGCTTAGCATTACAAAAGTACTGAATGTTTGAATCACAGGAGTTGAGTGTGACAAGCAAGCAAATGTCAGATGACCAGCTTACACCTGGCCATCCCCAATAGATGTCAGGGAGACAGTATTGTTCTTATTCACTCCCTACCTGCTTAAATCTACTTGATCTGATGGTGGGTTGTAAAGAACATGGGAATGGCAGGGAAAGGGAGTAGGATAATTATGTCTGAGATTAAATTAAAGACACCAACAAATGACCTAAAGACATACTGTAAATAATATGTTAACTAGCAGGCCAGTCCCCATTTATATTTCCTTATTTGTTTTGCTTTGGTGTAGAATCTCACCTTACTTTAAAAAGTTTGTGTTTAAACTAATGCTAATATTTCATCTTTCGTTTTAAGTTCATGTGTCATTTGTGCTTATTTACAGTAAGTTATGGATAAATCACAGAACATTTTTCTGGCAGTGTGTTATGCAGGTGTTATGCAGGAAGAAACTATTAACATGCCTCTGATTAAAGATTTAAAGTATTTAGCAACAGGATGACAAGAATGGCCTAAGATATTGTCTCAAAATGTGATTTTTGGAGTTATTGTTATTGAATAGGGCAGCTGTTAGAGTCAGAGTGGTTAGAGGTACAGTAACAATATATTAGAGGGACTAACAGCATTTAAAACAAAAAAAGTCATCCAGTCCACTTCAAGACATAAGGGATATTATATAGTACATTGCTCATTAACAAAGGGTTACTCAAAATTGATTTGTGCCCATTGATTTAGGAATTGCAACAATAGTGTCCAACCAAAAATAGACAACACAAGACCATGTGACTAAAAGCCACTAAATCTATCCTCTTAGCAAAGTTGAAGGAGAGTGCAAACATCTCTTACAGTATACAGTATATTTCCTCTTGTTCCTCTTAAAAACACGTAGGGATAATTTGTTCATTTTCAGTGAGCATTTATTGATGTTCCACAGAAAAGGTTACTTCTTGAAAGCTGTAGAAATTAAATGTGATGTGTGATCCTGAGAGGCATTGGTAATCTTAACATAATTAATTAATGATCAACATTGGAACGGAAAAAAAGTGTAACTAGGAGAAATACTTAATCATTAACTGCACTTACTGTATATAGCAAATATCATTCCAAAGAATCCCATTGTGGTCAACAGATGTGTGAAGGGATCTAATTCATCCAACATTGAAATGTTTCAACCACCTACAGTAGGTGACACATGGCAGGCACTGCAGCCCTACTACACAACAGATCAAGAGAGGAAGTGAGAAACTGCACCAAAATGTAATTAAGAGGAAATTTTAGAAAGACCAGATTATACCAGCCCAGAATGGAATCTAACCAGAACAATGGAGTTACTGTAACACTTTTGAAAATTGCCATGGGCACTTTAATGATCAATCAAGATCAAGACCTAGGTTAAGTTAAGTTCTTACCTGAATGATGGCACCTCCTACAGAACAGTATCCTCACTCACCATACTAGGACATTGGTTTGGAAATTATAGATCAGAGGGAAGAGCATCACCAACTGGTCCACCAAAAGTATTTCTAGATGGAACCAACAGTAGATGTTCATGTAGGACATAAAGAGCTAAGAAGATGAGACACTTCTTTAAGCAATAGGTGCTAATAGTGGAACAGACTTCCAACCATGTTATTAAACTTGATTCCCTAGAGATGCCAGATGATATCTTTTCACAAGTCAAGCAACTAAAAACCCCTCAGCATGATAGGCTGAGTCAGCTCCTGTTATGTCCAACCTGTTTTATGCTCTTAAAATGTGTTCATGATAATTATTTTCTCTCTTAAGGACTAGGGGAAGTGGGAAATGAGAAGAGTGTAATTATGTTGGACTTAAATGCATAAACGTTGACCTAATCTAAGTGAATAATTCAATATTATTTACATTTACAATTACTTACATTAAAAATTACAATAAAGCCACCTTACAGTTTACAGTTTATCCAATATTTCTATGAATCCCCTACTAAATAATATAGCACAGAAAATGGTTCGTAAGGCAGCAGATGCCTAATGTTCTATAAATTGTAGCAGTCCTAGGACTGACCTGTTTTGCACACATTTGTTGCATGTTACTCTTACTTTTCTTCATTACTGTTACTTTCATAGCTGACATCTGTGGGTCAGGAAGGAGATTGGTTGCAAATACTTTTGTTTACCAGAACCAAAAGACCTGATCTGTTACAAATAATTAAAAATAGTTTTAATACTCACTCACTGTTATACGGCAGGATTTATTGTCACCATAGCAACCATGCAATGTGCATACAGTAGTCAGTAATAATGTAATGTGAAAATTTGATTCTTTTTCGTGTTAACTTTAATTCACAAACTTTTAGCAAAGTCCAAAAACCTACTGTAGCTAAAAAAGCATCCCTCACCTTGTGTTTTCACTGTGAGTTCCGGCTACATTATCAGTATGATCATATTCTAGACCATAACTTATATCCATCTTTAACAAAATATTTAGGAGAAACAACCAGAAATACAGTATATCCAAAATGTTTGTGTTCCACTTCAAATTTTGGTCCCTTTGAAAGAAAGAAATTAACATGCTTTTAAAGGCCATTCAGAACACATCAGTGCCTCGCAGGCTATTTCATTCATTATGAATCTCAACACTGGTGAGCATGAGGTGCACTTTGACCCATTCGCTTTCCCTGTGTAGCGCTCCTCTTCTAAATTAGTTCCTGTCATTTACATTCAGTGGTTTTCTCTGCCAAGGGAATGTCACACAGGGTATGTGGGCTGTTGTTGAAGATGAATCTAGAAATCTACAGGGGGGTGGGATCTGAATTGCATGAGTAAGGACAAATATTGAAATGTGATTAGGTGTGGTGGTTTTGCAGTTTGGTGTTTGGGCTGAGATTAAAATACAGGTTTTCATTTAAATGCAAGAGTTGTCCCCCAGTCATAAGCTTAATGTAACACATGAAATGGCATTGTCATAATGATAAGGAGTAATTGTCCACTAGTTCGATCTGTTATTATCATTAATTGAAAGTGTCAGTGACCCTCATGTTACCAGAAGCCCTGTCATGAAGTTGATTTCCCCCTTTCTAGAATATTTCCTAACACACTTTTGTAGAATTGTTTTGTTCTTTAAAAAACATTTCCATACATGTAATAAGAAACTTTCACTATAATGTATACAGTATGTACAGTATACAGTATAAGTTAAGTAGTCATGTCACATGTGAGAGTACGTTCCGATATGCATTGATTTTGACTATGGCAAAATTGCAGATATTAAAAATAAATATTTTTTTTTAATCTTAATAAAACTATACCTAATATTGTGTTACAGTGAACCATTAATAAGGCTCACTTATCTGTATTTTCTTATTTTACTCCACACAAACACGTGCCAGATACAGTATATATACAGTATGATTCTTCAGCCCAGGCTGCTATATTAATAAACTCTCCCATTAATTATGTTCTGGAAGATGTATGATATTTATATACTTTAATTACTGAACATATTAACAGCTGCTACCTATCTGCCCTGTATTGCTTCAAGGTAGACAATATAATTAATGTAGCAAAAAAATGGTTTTGAAATATGAGAGGAATATTGTCACCAAAGACATGAAAGTTAAAGAAAAAATTAAATGCTACTTAGGGAGAAAACCAGGTGTAGGCAATAATGACAGAAATTAACTAAGAGGTTCAATTCTTCACCCTATGGAAATTATAGCAATTAACAGGGGTTCATCTTATATCCATTAACTTTAGGACAAATACAAGGAGCTATGGTAATCTTCAACATGTCCTGGACTGTTTATAAATATAAGCATGAAATAACATGATTTTTATTTGTATTGAGGTTATAGAAAACATACTTTTATAAACATTTATCAACTGTAATTTATAAACAGCCATAGAAAGTCCAGTCAACTATAAATGCCCTGATCATTGCTGGATATACAGTACTGGAGAAGGTGCCTTGGACACTACATTCTATATGTATATGTATGCTTTTGGAAACCTAAACACTTTATGATTATATAGTAAATAAAATGCCATCAAATGTTCACTTAATTACTTTCTGTCAAGTCCTTCATTCATTAAGTTATGAGCAACATATCCCATGATACAAAAAGAAAATCTTTATCCCTGTAAGATAATAAGAGGTGGCTTTGTGAGCAAGCCACCATCTTGGCTAAAAAACTTTGGCCCAGTGGTGTGGTCTTGAGCCGAGCTGATTCCCTGTAAATTGGGAAAAACTTACAAAAAGAGGCACAACTGGTCTGAATGAGTCATTGGCATTCTTAGGCAGTGAAATTCCAAGTGGAGGGAAGGAGGCTCTGTGTGCCATTCCTCTAGCCTAATTAAGAGGTTTATAAGATCATCTAGAGGAAAAATGGATTTCAGTCTGCATCTACTGTATGCTCCAGACAATAAGGGGGAATAGTTATAAATGCAGAGGTAAGTTTTCATTCGCAATGAATTTGGCTGAATTACAGGCCTACAGGACTCAGCAAGCTAGGGATGCTTGTGAAAATACAGGTTAGGCTGTATTGAGGGGTGTCACAAGTGTCACAGGCATTTCCTGGCTCAATGGAACTGAAGTACACTGCCAAGGAACAGGGTTGGCCAGCTGAAACAGGGCTGACGGAGATATTTGCCTCTGCAGGAGTGGAGCATTGCTACTACAGTACATTGCCAAGAATGACTTCTCCCCACAGCTCAGAGAGGAGTCTAGATGCCATAGGTTGAGTCCTGAGTACTCCTTGCAGCAGCTTTATGGACAGATGGACAGCTTTAGTGTGAGAACAACAAACTGGCTGCTGCTTTGCTAGGGATACAAACGTTGGTTACAGAGGTAGAACAGGATCAGTCTGGTAAGATAGCATTGAGAAAAGAGTTGATCTACTGATTATTTTAGTAAATATTGCAATTGGATGACATGGAGTGAGTCTATTTGAATACTCTTTTGCCTGAATGTGTTAAAGAGGGAAGTTGTTATTGAAGTGATGATAAAGAATTGGGCAACATGGACATAACTGGGTTAAAAATTCTACCACAGTGACTAATGAAGACAGAGTGAAGATCTATTCAGTGTGATGAGCACGAGCAGTAATTTTTTACTAATGAAGACGGAGTGCAAAGTTAATGAGTTATTTAAGTAAGACCATCTAAAGAGCAAGACAAGACACTTAAACTGTGGGAAACTGAGGTGACAATCTGAAATTGTAGTGACGTATGTAGTGGCAGGCTCACATTGAGGCTATTTGACCTCTTGTGCCTCTTTGCTGAGCAAAGTTCCCCTTCCATTTTAGTGGGTGCTGCTGAATATGTTGAGGATCATTGAATAAATCTACAAATGCATGTTTATTTTACAGCACTTCTTTGTAATTCAAGGAGACACAGCAGTCGTCTTTGGAAAGGAGACACCAAGAACTCCCACTGTCCTCATAATATAGTGAATAGAGTACATTTCTATTGCTCAGTCTGTGGTGTGCAGTATGTTCTCCCAGTAAAACACCTGAAATTTTCTAGGCTGACCTCGGTGTTATATTCTTGCTTAATCTGGTTATTATTTTATGGTGTTTTCTGCATATTTTCTCTAATTTGTACTGAAGAGTAATATGTAAAATCCAATGTCTGTCAATTAATTGAATTTTCCAGGCCTCAGCAAGAATGAGGAAATTCCTAAAATAAAGCTGAATCCACCTTTTGTTTTTCTGACCCAGGTGTTCAGTAACCTGCCCCCTGTCCACCTATCCTTAATTAAACAAATACTGACAGATTAGATTTAATTAGAGTTTAATTCTATTCATCATAAGAAAGCAGGCCTTAAGAAAGGATACAGTATACAGTATACTGTAGTGTTAGCAGAGTATTCCAAAACACTAATGTAGTGATTATTTTCATTATTTAATTATATTTTGTTTCATTGTGATATATTTATCATAACAAGGTTTTATTTCATTATTTCAGTTCAGATAAGTGTGTATATGCATTCTTTCTGTTTTATACTTTATTTGTATTTTCAATCAGTGTATACATAAATTGGAAAAGCACTGTTAAAGCCCTTGGTATTATCTTTGGAAGTATTCGATATGATCAGTTTTTAAACAATTTTTGTAGTTAAAGGATGCAGTGTATTCTTGAACATTCAATAACCAACAAATATCTCTAACAGGGTCTGTCGCTTTGATAATTTAAGCACAGAAAAATTAAATGAATTCTCATCTTTGTAGGTATGCGACCATAATGACAGGATATCAGCTTTCAGCATTATTCTTTTTTACATTTACCATCAGTGTTTGGGGTTTTATGGCTTTTCATGCTGAAGCAGATACAATAGCTTCATTTTCTTTAAGTAGGGATGTTCATGAGCTAATGGATTAGATAACTGGCTGAAGAAGACTCAAAAGAATTTAAACAAAGTGATTGAAAAGCAGCCTTTTCTGCACTGCTCCAATAATTACTCCATCCCTGAGGAGCAACTATAATGCTACCATTTATGCACAGTAATATCCTTTAATTTTACCTTGGGACATTTAGTGAAAAGTGTCATTAACTACCTCTGGGGAGGTGTGTATCCATTAGTTCCTGACAAGAGTACCAATTTCTTGTAATTCTTCTACCCAGAAAATTATACATGTTCTTTGAGCCCTGTTATATTTCTTCCCATATTTTAATATTGTTGTTCTTTTTTACAGATTCCATCAATAACTAGATCCGTGGACCATGACAAAATATTGGCACTCAGGCAGCAGACTCAGTTCCTTTGGGATGCCTATTTTTCTTCAGTTGCAAAAATAGTATTAACTACATTAGAGGTAAGTGTTCTCATTTATAGAGTCATTAATTTAAGCGAAAGAGGGTAAGAATGAGGGGATGGCTTTGTGCTCATGGACCAGAGATGAGACAGCTAGGATAATGGATAGGCTTTGTATAAAGTGCAAAGAAGAGTCAGATGAATTGATGTCTACAGCACAATAACATTGGTGCCTCTACTAGCATCCACTACATTAAGTTTTGGCCTCGCCTCTTTTTAGATCCATAGATCATCTTTCTTTTACTGGGTAGCATTCATTTTCTGACTGATGTGGAAGCATACTCTGACAAATAAAGAATATATCTATCTTTCATTGTCCAGATGGAGTTAAAATCTCTGAGGAGGAAAAAAAGATTTGTCCTTCGATAGACTTTTTTGGTTTTATTCAAAATGCTTCACATACTCTAGCACATTGTGGAAGATTTCAAAAGAACACAATACGTAATCTTTCCATTTCATATTGTATTTGAGATTTTAGGGGCAGGGAATTTTTCAGAATGATTTTCTTGCCAAAGTTATTGTATATTATTATGCAACGTTATGTGAAAGGAATTCATATTGTCTTGTAGTTAACTAGACTTAATGCTTAAAATAAACTAAATGCATCCTGCATAGTCAAACAGTTTTTTTGCAAATGTAGAATACAGTTTCTTAAGAACACATGGGTACATCTGGAATGGAATAGTGAGATGAAAATATGTGTGATGAGCATTCTGTGCATGTTATAATGTTTATCTGCTATGTCAAATCATCTAGCTAGTAAAACACAGTTGTGATAGTAATTGTAGTTTCTACAATATTTATAATGTAAAATATTACATTTTTTTTCTACGACAAGATGTGTAGATGTGTAGAACATCCATGAATAGTTATTTGCCTGTTGCTCCAACAGCTTACGCGGTACATATAAAGGCGTAAAATTATAAAATATAAAGGCGTAAAATCTCTTTGCTTTTTATAACAACATATCACCCTGCAACTCACAACTGGCAACCCACTGAAGCTAAGCAGGTGTGAGCCTGGTCAGTACCTGGATGGGAGACCTCCTGGGAAAAACTAAGGTTGCTGCTGGAAGAGGTGTTAGTGGGGCCAGCAGGGGGCGCTCACCCTGCGGTCCATGTGGGTCCTAATGCCCCAGTATAGTGATGGGGACACTATACTGTAAACAGGCGCCATCCTTCGGATGAGATGTAAAACCAAGGTCCCAACTCTCTGTGGTCATTAAAAATCCCAGGGCGTTTCTCGAAAAGAGTAGGGGTGTAACCCCTGGCCTGGCCAAATTTCCCATTGATCCTTATCAATCATGGCCTCCTAATAATCCCCATCTATGAATTGGCTTCATTACTCTGCTCTCCTCCCCACTGATAGCTGATGTGTGGTGAGCGTTCTGGCGCACTATGGCTGCCGTCGCATCATCCAGGTGGATGCTGCACATTGGTGGTGGAGGGGAGTCCATCATCAGCTATGCGTTATACTGATTGCAATGAAATAGAAATGTCTTTGACTTACTCAGAATGGTTGTCCAAGATTTTAAATCTTTCATGACTGCATGCTAATGTACTGTGTGATAGATCACAAAATGCAACACAGCCATAATAAATGTATGCAATAATCTCTATCGCCTCATGTTTCCGTGCAAAAGAAAAACCATATGTACTTGAATGTGAGAGCCCTTTGAACATGCACAATATTATCCATGACACTGGCTACCATTGTTAAACAGCTGTAGATGACCACAACAGTTAACTGTGGTAAAGTGGTCATTCATAATATTCTCAGATGAGTCAAGGTTCGTGTTGGACTTCCTAGATCTCCCAATGAAAGTGTGATATCATATAGAGGGATGTTACTATGAAAAACAATAGGACTGTCAGCAGCTGAAATTGATATGGCAGACATAGTTGATGACTTGTTTCTAACTCAGTTTGTCAGAGCTTCTTCTAGAGGAGAAGCTTGTATTGATTTAGCCTTTTCAAACAATCAAGTGAGGAAAACAGGTGAAAAAACCATTAGGGAACTGGAATCATAATATGGTATGCTTTGAAGTATATTTTAAACTGTACAGGTAGAGTCCATAACAGATTTATAATTTCAATATGATGGAATGGGACAGAGTTTAGTAGAAGTAGAATAGAACACAAATGACAAGGGTTTCTGTAGAAAATGGATGGGAACTACTTAAAGATGTTTTAAAATATGAAAACTAATGTAAGTAAAATAAAAGAAATTAAAGTAGTGGTCCAAATGGTCAAATCAATTAAGAATATAAGGAATAAGAAGGAATATAAAGCACTTTATAAAGTACAGTATTAAGAAAACAATATGTGGTTAAGAAGTATAATAAATTATAAGCACAAGTTAGAAAGGACATAAAGAAGGCTTAATCTCAGATAAATACTAAGTAAATAAGTTTTTTTTTCAGCACTTCAAGGGCAAAATAACAATAAAAAATTAAGTAAGGTATCTCAGAGATAACAAAGAGAAACCTTTAGATGACTGCAGAGAAATGTCTAATGTATTAAATTAACATTTCACTCAGGGGTGTAGCGAGGAAGAAATTGATACCATTCCTCAAGCTAAGGAAACACAATTCCATATTAAATAATATAAGTTTAAAAGAAGTGAATGTATTGCAATGCACAGAAGAGACAGTAGTGTTCAGCTGGAGAAGCATTTGAAGCAGTAAAGTCATTATTAATATCCTGATATAAGTCAACGATTTGTACCTAAAGAAAAAAATAAGATGTTTTTAATGGCTGTTAACAAACTTCTGTCATCTCAGAAAACTGAGCCTTTTTTACAAAGAACAGAGAAGACTATGCGGAGACATTATTCAAGTATTTAAAATCCTCAAAGGCACATACTGTATAAAGTCATTTCAGCTGTCTCTCAGTATACTGGAGCTGTAATAGTCACTGACTTGAAAATTGCTAATGTGCTGTCCATTCATTAATTGGTTGGCAAAAGTTAAACAAGCAGTTCTAAACCACATAGGTCTTACTTCCATTACATTCAAGGTTATGGAAATAATAAGAACTAAACTAGTTCTAGATAAACTAGTCAACAAGGATTTAGGTTTTCCTTAATTTGTTATGAATGAATTTGAATATGTAATTATATTGTATCTTACTGTAATATATATATATATAATAATTATACTGTAATAGACAGTATATTCTTATAAATGGGGGAGGGGGGTATGAAAATGGTAATCAGAAATTGACTGAGCAGTTTAGTTAATAAGTGAAATAACTATTCATAACCCCCATCTTGTAAATGATTTCTTTAGAATATACCCGAGTGGTTGCTATAAATAGAGGCACGTGAATTCTTTATTCTCTGGCACAGGTTTAAAAGGAGTTATGATCCAGGCACACTAGGTTAAACAAATGTTTATTAATGATCACAAGATGCAAACTACTGTATGCTACACACAACAAAACATACAACATACAAGTTACTCCATGAACAGTATTTACAGAAGAGGCATTTCAGAGCCCTTACAATAACATTCTTGTCACCCAGAAAACCCCAGATTGCTACTAAGCATTAAACTCTTAATGCCCACAGAGGCCACACAAGAGATAAGCTGCCTTCCAACTAAATACACAGTAACTTGCAGTTAAATTTCTCTCTCTGCACTCTGTTTGCCACAAAATAAATGGGAGCCTACTGTATATTCCTTTCCACAAAAATGCACCCTAAGCTGGAAAGATATTTCTAACTGGGTTATCTTTTACCCAGGAAACCCAAGTTCCCTAAAAACACAGAATAACATGCTTTCTCTAACAAGGTTCAAATACTTAGCTCCCGTCAGGTTTTGTTTGGATGGACATGAAGTCACAACTCCTCTGGACTCTTGCCTTCCTCTTCTTCTTTCCTCTATTCCTGTGCTCTTAATATCTTACATTGTGTCTTTCTGTAATACAATTGTTCCTGCTCAAGGGATCCCCCAGACCTCGGCAAACATCCACTCGACTTTGAAGTTAGAGATGTTTACTCTGCCAAGTGTCACAAAAACTCCAAGAGACACTTCTCAGTCACCCTATGCTTAACAATATAAATGCTATATTTTGACTTTCAGAAGGCTTTTAACAAAATTCCTTACATTAAAAAAATATCTAATCACTGGTGGTAGGCATTCAAGGTAATGCATGAATAGTAATAAGACTGAGAAGAGGTAAATGCTCAGATGGGCATGGTGTAATTAGTGGAGTGCCTTATGGATCTAAATTAGGATTAGAATTCATATTTTAAATACACTGCATAATTTACATCAATTTTGTAGATTTGTATATAGTAATCAAAAGTTTTTAAATTAGGCCAAAATAGTAGGATTAGCAAAGATCATAGAAGAAAAGTAAAATAAAAAAATATTTAGACAAAATTCAGCACTGGCCAATGCAGCATTTAATGGAAAAATGTAAAGTGTTACAATGAAGGGTACAGTAGGAAAAAAAAAACATAACCTACAAATGTAACATGATAAGCATAAGACCATAAGAAATGATTGAAATTAGTAAACAATGTGTAGCTTTAAGGATCTAATTTGGCTGTTTCTTGAAATAAACTATGGTACTGTATAAGCTTAAAAAAAAATAGCTGGGTAGTGTTTCTCATACTTCCACAACCCTTTGCATATAGAAAGCTTTTCTTGGGTTAAAATGCATTAACACATAGTTTCAATTTATGTTCTGTTTTTTTTTTGGACTGATTTTGTCTTAGTCTTTGAGGATTATGAACACGTGATCAGTTGCCTTCATCGTCTTCTCTTAAAATCTAAAAAAATAGATCAGTTTCTTTCAACTGAGTATGGCATTACTAGCGCATTGTATCATTTTAACAAAGCACTCATTAAATTCAATTTACATTCTACTTATATAGTCTGCCAATGTTATGCCTTTTTATTGCTTCCTCACATTATCTAGAAGATATACAATATGTCAAAATATGTAAAAGTAACATATGCCTGGTTACTTTTATAAGTAACCAGCCTATGGTTAGCATTTATTTTGTATTTATAGTTCACATTTTTACTATCTGCCTGTAACTCTTGTATGCAGTGAAAATCATATGTCAGGTGTTTGCCCAGTCTTGAATTTTATCTAAACATGGCTTACTGCTTACAGTATATAGAGTTTGCTAACCCTCCTGTTTTGGTATCATCTACAAAATTAATTCATTTGCTAACAACACAAGAATCATGATCCTTGATAGAAATTAGAAAGACCATGGTCCAAGTACAAATCTTGTGGTACTCTACTAATTACATCACCCCAATTTGATCTTTCAATGATGTTACTATTATGTTTCCTATCCCTATTTCCTATTATGGGTCATTTCTCAACACAAATACTATGTTTCTCTGAATACTTCTGTATGTATTCAGATACTTCTGAATGTAATTTCTGTATACATAATGAAATTTTACTTTTGAAAATCTGAATAAAAATCTGAATGAACAGCAAGTTAATAGAGGATACTAATGAGAGAGGAAGATCAGTGTATAAGTAGACACATCATTTTTATCTTCCAAACAATCTATAGAAGAAATTTAACATGTTACTTTAAACCTGTACAATGCACTAGTAAGAGCAACCATACCGTATAATGCCCTGGGCTCAAAGGAATGTTCTAAGCTAAGGCTTAAAGAATTTAATATTATGAGTGGACCTTATTCAGGAACTCAAAATCCTGACAAAGCACAGTCAAAGTAAATCCTTCCAACATCTGCAGAAACAGAATTGAAATACAAACTAGTTACTAAGTGGAAACTACATAGGAAAGCATTTCTGAAAACAAGCGGCAAATATTCCCTCAAAGGTTTGTAAACGTAAGGCACAAGTATGCTGTTGAAGCTGATTCATGTATCTATCAGCTGCTAAAAACCCAAATGAGCCAAATGGGTGAATGGACTCTTCTTTATATACTGTATATCCCTTCTTATCGTCTTATGTTAGAGCTGCAGTGTTAGGTTTATGAAAGTCCCCCTATTCACACAGAACATGAATGAAAAATATAATGATACGCATTAAAAGAGTCATTTGAATTATTTACATTTTATTTATCTGATACAGTACGTAAGGTCTATTTTTAGGCAAATGTATCCTGTTAGGGCCAATAACACTGGGGCTCCCATTACACAGAACAATACTTCTTTATTCTGATCCGAGACACTTTTAAATAAATGGCTCTTTCACAGACTCATTCAATCAAGCTGTCAATTTTCTACATTGTGATGGATGGTAGAATTGGTTTAATCGTTTTAGGATTCTGAAACAACAAAACCTATTTCATTGATTTACTGTTAAGCTCCACAGCAAAGTTAAACAGCTGCAGTAACATTTTTCATATGTGTTTTACATCTTGTGAATTTAACTTCATTTTTTCCTGTATTGTAAACTGTTTCCTCATACAGTACATGTTCACTCTGCAATCCCACATTTTCCTTGAAACCCGGCAGCAGCTGAACCATATTACCTATTGGCTCTTCTTGGTCACTGTGATGTTAGCCTATTCTGCCTTACTGTGATGATGTGTGGCAAAGCCCTAACTATTTTTTTTTGCTGGCAGTAAAGCTAATGAACAGCATGATACGATCTGCTGTGGATCTGTGGTTCTACAACACTGCATTTCTACAACTGATTCATTCCCTTGTCTGTGTTCATTTGCCTTTTACCATGAAGATGTTGAAATATGCAAACATGATGCTGTGATAATTGTCCCCTGCCTGTCTTTGTGTGTTTAAATTAACTTTATTTATGGGTCACATCTGCCTTACACTCTTGTCTTCAGAAAATGTTTAATTACTGCACAATATTTCAAAAAGTGCTATTTTAATAGGCTTTTTTGTAAAAATAATACCAGTTAAAGTGTTTACAGGTAACAGCTACATGCTCGAAGAGTAAAGCAAGGGCATAAATATGCAATAGACAGTTAAAAAATGGAAGTGGACCTAGGTCTCTTCCATTACATTTTATATGAGGTTTTACCTTTTAATAAATCTCTTAACACCTCACCTGCTCATCCACAGAGACTCACTGCATGTGCTATATGTGCACCTCGAATTGACAGTTTCTGCATAAACTCATGAGTACAGCATTTACAAAAAAAATGTTTATTTTAAATAATATACATTACACATTTCCTCAAAGTTCATGCAAAGGGCTAGCATACAATATACATTTTTTTAAATGTCTTCTTTTCATTAAGACTTGTATTTTAAGCAAGCATGTGTCCAAGTGGTTATTACCACTTTCAGCAAGCGTCCCTTTCCATCCAGCAATTCAGTACGTCATGTCAAAGGCACAGAAAAAGAACCATGTTATTGTGGTGTTTCAAAATGAGCATCTTGATGAATTAGGTTTGGGATTAGAGCAAAGCTTGGGCTTCAAATGGAGCAATGTGGACATCATCAGGTGCATATAAAAATTCTTCAGGGAGTAAATTAGGTTTATTTCGATGGAAAATGATCATTGTGCAGATGCACTAAACACATAATTTTACCTGCAGAATGAGAAAAAGGGGGCAAAACGAAGCACTCTAATTGCTCCCCTGGGAAGCAGCTTTTCAGGCAAGCTATAAATATGGCATAATTCTTTGTATAGATCAAAAGGCACTTGGGCACTAATGCCAGTTTCATTGGATTTAGATCTTTGAGTGGATTTAGTTTTCCCCTTGAAAACAGCTTAAGCACAAGATCCTGTTGCATATAATGAGCTGACGACTGAAAAACTGTCTTATTTTTTGTTCCTAAATTGACCATTTGCTCTGAATATATAATTTTAGATTTGTTTCTATTAAGATGCTCAAAAGTTGGCTCTTTTGCAATTAAAATTCTGTTTGGAATACAGGCATACAGTAGCTTCAACAAGTACGTAGGTACACATTAGACCAATATACAGTAGTACAAACTTGAATCTGGAAAATAACTGAATCTGACATTGAGCACCAGAAGATATTCTAATTAACTCTGCCCCATAAGTCTAATCAGAACCTGCAGCTTTGAAGCACAGCAACAGCATAGACACAGCTGACTCTTTTAATACAGTACATGAGGACAGGGAACTGGACCAGTTATGTGGTTTATGGATATGTTATTCCCCATCTATGGATTTATGATGGGTAACATTCACATGTGCATTCCTCTTAGAACTGCAGACTGAACAGAGTCCATTTGATTTTTATATAAAATATAAAAAGGTACAGGTACTTTAGCCTAGTTTGGGCATTGGAATGCCAAGGTCATACCAGTTATTAGATTGTTAGGGCCCTATCACTGAACCTATCCAAAGGAGCTGGCTGAGAAGCCTAAGGAGAAGAGTTAACCAGTTCCTGGGTTTATTCCCAGGAAGAAAAAAAATAAAATAATCTTCCTTAAGCAATAAATTCTCCACTTGGCCATAACCTTACTGCTAATGCAGGTTGCAAGCCAGGGGTGGCATTAGTACTGTTTTGTAGATACTGTCATGGACAGTATACAATTTTATACTTACAGTATTCTTCAAATTATTTACAGCAGAACAGTATAACATTTGAAATATATACAATTGCAAATATAGTAATCTGGTGCAACAACATCTAATACATAAAACCTATTGCTTTACACACTTAGAAATTATGTAAACATCTCTCAAAATAAAGGATTTCTCTAAGTGCAAGTTCCCTGATTGTGCCTGTATTTTCTAAGTGCAATATTTTTTGTGGAATTTAGTCATAAAATTATTTATTGTGCAAAATGACACGTAATTCTGAAGCAATGTTTTACCAGTTGCTGAATAGCCAAAAATCTTTATGGCTCAAAATGTTTTGATATCTCCCTATTACACAAACAATTAACATAAGTAAGAGCCATTACAAATTTATGTTCTCTATTCATATGAATAATTATCTACAAATGGAGTGTCTGACAAATTTGCAATTTTAAACAAAAGATTCAATGATCCTAACATTTTAATTATTTTGTTTTGTATACACAGTAGTTATGTTACATACAGTATATTCTTGAAATGAACATTAGTTAACTCTCTCAGGCAGCAGAGAAAAAACAAGATTCTAAATGTATATACTGTATGCAGATACAATCAGCAGCCCCAGACAGCTGTTTTTCTGTAGATTGTTAATTTCTTTGCCCATGGAAGTGGACATACAGTATATCTGTGTTTTAAAAAGAACATCTTAACATTATTAAAGTGCTTGCTTGGTTTGATTGGCTTTTCTAAAGTGACCCTTAGTCTATGGACCTTCACTGGATGACCGTCCTGTCTAAAGCTGAAAACTCTCTGTGCGTGTTGTCATATATAAATGCTTTATATGTTCTCCTTAATTTAACTTCATTCCCTCATCTTATCATTATAATAATATTTAAAAACACAGTATAATAAACCATCAGGCAACATAAAATTGAAAGTTTTGTCAAATGTATGGCAGATTAATTTGTGGAGCTCCTTCAGCATTGCTACCATAAAAGGATTTGTTTAGCTTGCTGCTGGCAATGTTAGTAATATGTTATTGGTTATTTATGTTTACATTTAGAAAGTGCCTTTGAAGCTATTCATGGCACAATATTCTTATCTACAGACCTGTTAAATCCATTGAGAACGTGGTTAATAGAGCTCATTCACACCTCTGAGATTCTCAGGGAATGGAAAGCAATTCCGTTATCGCTGTCTACAAGACGCAACTGAGCACGACTTCCGTCTATGTTGGTAATATTCACCATTGCGAGGATGGACACTTTTTCACCCCATTCCTCTTTTCTTCCCTTGTTCTTTTGTCAGATAATCCAAGATCGAATCTCTTCTCACATATCAAGAAATAAATTGATGTGGAATTCCCTGCCTGGTGGCCTGTACATTTTACCACAGTTTTCTACAAGTTCAGCAGAGTTTCCATTTTATTATTCAGTGCTGGGTAAGTAGCAAAATGTTTATTCTTTGTGATACAGCTTTACATTACAAATCCTGCATGTTGAATGTAATTGGGTTGAACATGAACAGCCACGGGGCATGAATGACTAAGGCATGAGGTTTTACTCTTATTTGAGAATAGAAAAAATGTTCTTTGAAAGATCCAAAAACTTTGCTTCTCATTTATTATTAAATGATCATTAGATTTCTGAGATACCCCGTGGATCTGCTCTTTACTTGTAATTTGCCATCTTTCCCTGACACTAGTCAGACTTTTTCTGCTTGAATAAAAAGCTTTACAAATGTAATTTCCTCAGTTTAGAATAAAACCATGTTATACTGTTAAGTCTTAAGTACTATTGTATATAGAATGACCAAAAGATCTATCAGTCAGGTTACAGCAATCTAATTAAGAAGGTCTACGAGATCCAAATATAATTCTGCTTATTAAAAAAGTGTTGTAGTGTCCCACCTACTTGTACACCTGGGAACAAGGAGGGCAGGTAAGATCAACCAAAATGATAAACTAAAAAATGTAACTGAGGTTGCAGTGTAATTTCGCTTATTGAATATATAGTACATAGTGCTTATATTCTGAATAAGCTCCTGTGTTGTGTTGTTGTCACTACCTGTATGGTAGTGTCTTAATTAACAAAAATAGCTAAACCCATACAAATAACATGAAGTGAACAGGGAAAATGTTCTTGAAGACCCTTCCCTTTTTGATGTCACAAATACTGTAACAGTATAAAAACACCAAAAACATTTTTTCACTTCATCATGATCTGCATAAGAGCACAGTGTATGAACACAAATGAAATGAAAACAGAAATAGAAAGCTTTAATTAAACATCCAATGAATTTACCTTTCGCTTCAAAACAAAAAGAAAGACCAGATTCTCTGTATCACTGATTTGATAAGGTTCTCAAATCAGCTTTTAATAGACAAAATAACACAGTTACAAATGAGAAATTCTGATATTACATAAAGGGGCTTGCTATCTTTGGAATTTTTAAATTAATCTCATTCGGTACTCAAATGACTTCTGACATTTTGCATACCAGTACTTCTTCTTGAGTCCAAGTTTTAATAGTTCACAGACCTAAATTTCCTGTTAACCATATTAGATTCAAAACACCTCTGATAATAATGTACACTAGGCATCTTAATCATGTTTGATCAACTGGCTCTCTTCAGCACACTGCAATTCCCAGATGACAACATACTGTATGTCCACATAATGCTGCAATGAACACAAGGTATTTTGTACAATAAAATGACCTAGATGTTTTTCATTTTTGAATTAAAATAATACAAACAATACAATACAAACTCAATATCTGAATAACTTACGAAGATAATATGTAGAGATAAAAAACAATATCTATTAAGTCTGTTTCCCTCCAGTTATTTGACATTCCCAAGATGAATTCTAAGTCCTTCACTGACTAAGTACAGGCATATTTTTTTCTGTTGTACCATGCACAATGTAGCACCAACCAAACAGTATTTGGAGAGAGAATGAGGGAGATTGACCTCCATTTGAACCTTAAGATAACTCAATTTTATATTAGTTTCTTCTGTTCACACTGATGTCCCTACAGGAGTTCATCTAAAAGTTGCAAGTTACACAAGACAGCCTTTCACAGCATATCTCTGCTGCGGTGAATGGAAGCTGACATCTTGCAAGTGATTCCACTGATCCTGTAATTTGTGTAGGTGTCACTTTAAAACTAGCTAAAATAAAAAAAGAATAGTTTACTTAAATAAGCAGCATGAAAATTTAAAATTCTACAGTACATTGTTTTCAGAACCCTGAACCATTGCTTCATTAAACCTAAAGTTAAACCTAAAGTAACTAAAAGTCACATGATCATAACAGGAATGGTTTGCAACATTACATTATTTAATGCTCTTAAATAGAAATACTTAGCCCACTCGCATTACAATAATAATAATACAATTTTATTAAAGCATTTAATAAAACTGAGCTGACTCCAGATCTATTCAGAGTGCTGGCAGCTCATCCAAGACAGAAGAGGAGATCCATCACTGTACAGTATATTAGTATTGTAACAAAGTACCATTTCATCTAAGTGATTATTGTTACAGAAAAGCTGCTTTACATTTCTTTTAAATATGAAAAATTCCAAGAAATATGTTCAGGCATCTACATTTCCTTCCTACAATAAACCTTGAAAGGAATGGTAGCTGATACAATCTAAATTTTAAACCTTACAGATATTTATTGAAGTTAAAGTAAAAAAAAAAACACTTCCCTTTCACTTCGAAGAGCAGTCATAACAGAATGGGATATCACTAGCACCAGGTTAAAGGCCGCAGCCTCTATATCATAAGAATGTGATGCTCTCCCTCAGTCCCCTCTCCTCAGGATATACTATATAAGGTGACCATGTATCCTTCATTTCTGCCGTGGTGACACATCCAGGGTGTGGTTGCTCCTTGGGCCCTGTATTTCCAGGATAGCCTCTGGGTTGGTTTGCCCCTTTCCAGGGAAAAGCAGCTTTTTTATGGATATACTGTATGGAAGGGCAATCCCCAGCTATATTAAAACGAGCACCTTTAACAGAGATAATGGACCTAGAACAGAACACTTGATTACAAGATGGAGGGAAAAAAGCATGCTTGGGCATCTACATCAGGTTACTTGGCTTTGCTGTAATGTAATGGATATTGTATAATATGGTACTATACTGTATATGTGCCTAGCCTAGAAGCTTCTTCTAACCCATCTGCTTTTGTAATCAGAAGGCTGTAAGATCATATACTGCACAGTCCCATCAGATATTGGAACATTCTGATCCCCCACAGCATTATGCAGAGGATAATTCAGTGGGTGATGAAAATGGATAGGTGGCACAGTAGCACAGTGGTTAGCATTGCTGGTTCACAGCACTGAAGCCCTGGGTTTTATTCCTGGGGTGCTACAGTACTGTGTAGGGTTTGAACTTTCTCCTCATATCTAGATGGGTCTCCTTCCACTGTCCAAAGACGTACTGGATGGTAAATTGGCAGTGGTTTGAGTGTGAGCATGATTGTGTCTGTCTGTGCCCTGTGAACCAGGATTGCAGGGAAACTGGATCCTATCCTGACAAGCAAAGGGCACAAGGCAGGATACATCCTGGATGGGACACCAGTCCATCGCAGGGCACATACAGACATAGGTGCACACAAACTATTTCTGTGATTGACTGGCATCCCATCTATCCATGCATTGCTTGCTGGGATAGGCTCTGATTCCCTCTCAATACTGTATTGGATAAATGGATGGAGGAATGAAAATGGATAATTCTTTCGATGAACACCGGATAGTTTTACTTTTTCAAGTTTCTATTCTTTATATCATACTCTGAACATTGTTTATCTGTTTACATAAATACAGTAAATCATATTACAGTTTCCAATTTTATTTGCTTCTGCTTCATTTTTGATGCTTCAAAACCACATTCTAACATATACATTTTAGATGATGTACTGTATTTTTCCATTATTTTGATCTAAAAATGTAAATAAATTAGATATGCTTATGTAGATTATTTGTAATTGTCTTTTGTTTATTCCTTGTTTGCTGTTGCTTAGAAATAGTAGACGTGTTCAGTAATACCAGTAAGTTAAAAAGGGAAACAATTTCTTTAATTTGTGTCTCTGCTGTACTAAAGCATTTCAACATTTTTATGAAACCACAAAGAGATACTTGTGTTTGTTGTATTCTTTTCTGTAAGAGACAGTGAAGGAGATCACACAGTATAACAATATTGGTAAAAGTTCATGTGAATTATGAACCTGGATGTGACTGCCTACATTCTACGGAGAACGTCAGTGGTTCACTATTGATATGCAGCTCTCTGATGGGTATAATCATTCACTATTTATTTGGAATTTATTTTATAATTCATGGGATGTGCATAGAACATTTCACCAACACAAAGCAGGAACTGGATACGGTTTGAAGACTGTGTTAGTTCTCGAACCAAAAAAAACAACAAAGGGAGAGTCTTATATATTCTAGCATCGTAGCAGACGATTAAATTTGTTCAAAAGCCTGTGCTGAGAAAAACCTAATTGTGATTGTCAGCTATTGAGTGAAAAAGCAATTCCACCTTGTCTTTCCTGTCAGGAATTGATATTGATGTATTATGATGCTGTTAGTGCCTTCTTGTTATGACACAGGCCCTCTTACACCATTTGAACAAAACATCTATGGTGACTAATGTATATTTTTTATCTTCCTGGCAAACAGTGAGAACAAAGCATGTTATTAAGCACAAGCTTCCTAGTAGCAGTTCTTTACCAGCAGCCAATAAATGTATGAATCTGTATTTTCCCCTGCTGTGTATCAGTGTATAAAGAGCACTACTACTTAAGGATTTAGTTGCCAAAATGGCAATTGCATTCTACACTCAATTTTAGTTATATTTTACATTTAAAATTTGTAAAAAAAATTATATATCAAAAAGTTTAATTCTATTTGAATTATTTACTTGAGCTTTCTCTCAATCATAGGTTTTATTCATTTTCCCCCCTAAATGTTTTTGTTGCTGTTTTAAACATTTGCTTGTACCGTATCTTAATTATGTGCAACTATAATATACCATTAATAAAGTATGGGTTGTCTAATTTGAATCAATTACCAATCTTGTCTGTTTTCTGTAAACTCTTGGAGTCGACAGTTATTTTACTCTTTTGCGCTCTTTTTTGCATCTCTGAAGTATCCTGTTCTGCTGCCTATTGCACAATAACATGGATACCTCAACTTCTTTGCCATTTATGTCATCCAAAACTGATGCTAATGAAGCTGCATAACCACGCATATTCAATAACTGTACAATATAGAATATTATAGTCTGTCATTAACTAAATTATATGTGAATGTCTCTGTATTACTATCACATACAGTAGTTTATGAAATACAGCACTTACGCTGTGTGCTGGCAGTGGATTCACACAACATATTTTTGTTATATTACTGTATATGAAGGGTT